AAAACCTCCTTTATACCCTCCCTCCCTCCTTTCCTTCAGATGACTTTCTTGAAATGTTTGAATTTACTACTCCATTTTCATATCCCTCTTATTCAATTCACTGGATTCTGGCTTTTGCTTTTCATTGCCTACAGTTACATTTACTTCATAGGATTGTTGTGAGAAATTTTGTTGTTGTTGTTGTGAGAAATTAAATGAGTTTATATGTGTTAAGTTTTTAGAGTAGTGCTTGCACGTAGTTAATGTTTTTTTTAAGTGCTTACCATGATTACCAATAACTCTTGAAACCAAGATCACCCTTGTGAGTACTCTTCTATTACCTTTCTTGTCTTTACTATATCCTTCATGAAATGTTCCTCTTAATTTTGGGACGCCAGTGGTATCAGGATGCTTTCACCTTCAAGTAACAGAATCTCTCAAACTGGAAGTCCAATGATGGGTGGTTCCAGGATTGATTGAGAGATGCAACAACGCTATTGAGAAACCAAGCTCTTGCTCTTTACCTCTACCATTCTCACTGTGTCACAGATGTTCACCTTCAGGGTTGTAAGATAACAGGCATCGTGTTTTCATTATCCAAAAGCAGAAAGGCAGTTCTGGGGTTGGGGTTTCTCCTGGGTAGGTATTTCTTTATGGGGAGGACAGTCTGCCTAAAGTTCCCCAGAGCATTTCCCTCACCTCCCATCGACCATCCCTTACATCAATCACTGGTAAGAGGAAATGTGATTACTATGAAAGATTTAAACTAACCATGAATCATTCCCCAGGGACTGGGGATGCTCCACCTTCCTTGAGTTCATTATTTTGGAAGAAATTAGTTATCTGTTAAGCTAGAAAGAAGATAGGAATGGTTGTTTGGTTCATAATCAGTAGTATCTCCCATTCCATTGTCACTTGGTCTCTGTTCCTTTTCAGTGTTTTTCATTGTCTTCTCTTGATTGATATGTCCCTTAAATGCTGGGCATCCTAACGTTCTGTCTTTGATTCTTTCAAAAATTATTCCTCTCTTACACTCTACTTTTTCTTTTCTTTTTTTTTTTTTTTTTTTTTTTTTTTAGTTTTTATTTGTTTATACATGAGAGACACAGAGAGAGAGAGGCAGACACACTACACTGGTATTTTATCTAAGACTTTTTTTCCTAAGTCCCAATTCAGAATATCCAACTCTTTCCTGGACACCTTTAGGCACATTCAATTCAATTAATTATTGTTGTACTAGGTTTTTGGGAGTCAAATAAACCTTTGCCATATATGATCTTACATTATAGTTGGGGAATTAGAGAAATGAATTGTTAAGTGATAGTAAGTAGGAATGCAATCTTAGCAAGCAATAAAATTTACCAAGTATAGAAGTAATATAGATGAATGGGTGATTAATAGGGTGGTAGACATGTTCTGGTGGATCTCCTATTGCCCTTCAAATGTACTCTTCCTATATGCTATATTCTGTACTGTCATTAGTAACCTAATTTAGCACACCTTTGTTCTGTCTAGAAACCAGGGGAATCTAAAATCATTCAAAATCCCCAGATATAGTTGGTTGGCAAGTTTTACACATTCTGCCTCTTTTATTACTTAAATTAATTACCCATTTGTCTTTTTATATCTTAGTCATACTTTAGGTCCCTGTAATTTCTCATTTCATTGACTTATTTACTCAGTAAAAGTCATTTAAATAGCAATGTATTATAAGACTTTGTACTAGAAAAAAAATGTAGAAAAAAAACCCCAAACTGGATCTCTCAGGGATAGTACAATCCTGTGAGTAAGACATAAGCAAATTGATGGTTATGTAGTTGTGATAAGTGATAGAGTGGAGAACTGGGGAAAATAAAGGAACTCAAGGTCAAGGGAACCTAATCCAAGCTGGCACTCAGATTTGCCCAACTAGAGGCTGAGTCTCAAAGTGGTAGTAAGCTCCATGCAGAGGGGAAAGAGTGGAATACACCCCCACCATTTCCTTTATACATACCAATAATATATCACTTCAGGATCATTACTTTGGGTGGCTGTACTTAATATCACTGTTGCTCAAAAACAGTTTTTTTAACTGACCACCATTAATTTAGAAGATTACCAGTAGTAGTATATCATTATACAGTTAGTTGATCCTTCATCATTCACCAATTCTGTACTTTCATATTTGCCCTACTAAAAAAATAATTTTTTTTGCCCTACTAAAATTTATTTATAATCCTGAAATCAGTATTTGGGATGTTTTCTCAAGTCATTTATAGGCTTATGCAAATGAAGAGGCAAAGCTGCAAAAAAAAAAAACAAAAAACTAATCCAGTGTTCCCAGCTGAGGTCCAACAAGGAAGGCAGTGCTTAGACTCCTTATTTTAGCTCTCATAACAAGCCTTTGTGATCTATTTAGTGCATTTTTGCAATTTTTGCATTTGTATGCTTTTTGTTGGTGACTTCAATGTTCAAAGAAATGATTCAACTTAGGGCTGAATTGCTGTCTAGTGTTCCTAGCCACAGGAAGGCTGTGATGTGCCTTATGGAGAGAATGCACGTATTGAGCTTCATTTAGGGATGAGTTATAGTGCTATTGGCCTTGAGTTGTTCGATGTTAAATGAGTTGTCTTGAAGCAGAAACACACATAAAACAAGAATATGTATTGATGACTTGACTTAACCCTGCCATTTCCCTTAGGGGCAGTGGTTCCTTTAGGGGATGATGAATTATTTGGTAATTATTTGGTAATTCAGCATCCACGGCAACTTCATAGAACATAACTATGGCAAATAATAAGAATCGACTATTTTGTGGATAAATTTGATTTTTGGAAATAGCCAAAAATGGCCAGGAGGGATGGGTTAGATGAGGATGGTTAAGCTGGACAATATAGAGGTATGATTATTAAAGTCTTTGTCAACCTTTTATTTTATTTTTTCTTTTGAAGATTTTATTTATTTGTTCATGAGACACACACACACACACACACACACACACAGAGGCAGAGACACAGGCAGAGGGAGAAGCAGGCTCCATGCAGGGAGCCCGATGTGGGACTCGATCCCAGATACTGGGATCACGCTCTGGGCTGAAGGCTAAACCGCTGAGCCACCCAGGGGATATTCCCCTTTGTCAACCTTTTAAAACATATTCCAAAATAAATAAATAAATAAATAAATAAAACCTATTCCACCCTTGTAATAAATAGCTTACTCACCACCCTAAATATTCTAGTATAGTCCCCTTAGCAGAGCTGCCCAGGTTGAAAATTAGTGCACATGTTTTATTTTACCATCAGCTAGGCTGATGTTTTATTTTATTTATTTTTTTAAAGACTGTATTTATTTATTTATTTTTATTTTTATTTTTTATTTAAAAGATTTTTATTTTATTTATTCATGAGAGACATAGAGACATAGGCAGAGGGAGAAGCAGGCTCCATCCTAGGACCCCGGGATCACAACCTGAGCTGAAAGCAGAAGCTCAACCACTGAGCCCCACCTGGTGCCTCTGAGCTGATGATTTATGGTGAAAGCTGCATTTAATAGTGAAAACTATGGTTTTTTAAAAGTTAAGTAGATACAATAAAATTTATTATAGTGCATGCTTAGATTTCCCTCTCCTTCTAGTCAATAGTTTGTATAAAACAAAGGTTGGCAAACATTTTTGTTAAAGGCCAGACAGTAAATGTTTAGGTTTTGTGGGCCATATGCTGCAATCCTTCTAATCTGCTCTTTCACTGTATGGTGAAAGTGGTGATAGCTACTAGGTACTATTTTATACATTTGTATTGTAAACTCCTGATACTGTTTTATCTTTTATGGCATATAACACAGTAGAGTCTCGATAACTGTTGCCTTGACTTCTTGATTTAGCTTAGAGAATAAAAAGGCTATATTTTAAAATATTTAAAAGTCAAACATTAAAAACCACCTATTTAAAATTAAATTATTCTTGGGGCACCTAGACAGCTCAGTCAGTTAAGCCACCACCTCTTGATTTCAGCCCAGATCATTATCTCAGGGTCCTGGGATCAAGCCCCAAGTCCTGTGGGGCTCCCTGCTCATTGAGGAGTCAGCTAGGGTTTCTCTTCCTCTGCTGCCACTCACAGTCTCCCTCTCTCTCAAATAAATAGGTAAATCTTAAAAAAGATAATAACATTAAATTATTCTTGAATCTTTTTTTTTTCTCTTATCTTTAAATGTCCTCCTTTAAGCAATTACAGTAGTTTGGGCTCATTGTATTTGGAATTAGGCAGTCAATGGCCTAACTTTATAGTCGATGACTACTATAAGAACATGGTGGCTTGTTTTATATATTTCCTAATACTTAACGTTTGATAGGTTGCAATAAAGTCTTTGAATCATAGTTAAATCACCGTAGCAGTGGTTTAATTATTAGGACTTTATGAACGCATTGTACTATAAAGATATTTTATAGTTTGGATAAGGTACTGATTTGAATTAAATAAAACAGTTGGAGAGCTAAACTTGCTAGATAATCAGTTTATTGCAGTTTTGGCTAAGATTCTAACAGTTCAGTGAAATAGCCTGTGTTCTTCTTTCCTGCCTCTCCTCTGTGCTACTTTTTTTTCTTTGTAGTCCTGGTCTTGTTCTGAGGAACTGTTGGTTTGACTGTAGTCACAGACTACTTCCAAGGGATTCTGATGCCTTCTCTGACCACTTACGAGAGGAGAGAGGAGAAACTTTAGAAAAGAATAAAGAAAACCACATAAATTCCTCATTTCCTAGTGTTGCTTTTACTTTTAACACTGTGAAAGCAGTGAACATGGAACCATTTTGTGTGGAGCTATTCTTACTACTTTAAATGTAAAGTATCATTTCAAAAAATACAAGTGTCTTTTTCTTAAAAAATGGAATGCTATTTTTCAACATGATTGAGGTAAAATTGACAAAATTGTAAAATATTTAAATATCACACACTGTGATAATTTTGATATATGTATGCATTGTAAAAAAATTCCTCCCCTTTAGTTAATTCACATCCATCACCTCACATATTTACCTTTTTTTTTTTTTAAGATAGTAAATGCTTCACGAATTTGCATGTCATTCTTGCCCAGGGGCCTTGCTCATATTTTAGTGTTATTCCATTTATAGTATATGTGTTGCTGAAGTGAACACTAGGATGCTATTTTATATGCAAAAATGGACTTTTCTTTAGTGCGCATCTGTTAAGATTTCCCCTAAATGTATATGTGAGAGATGTATATGTATGATATACTTAAGTTCATAGGTTGAGGTTTCTGAAAAATTGGATCATAGCCCTGGTGGTTAATAGGAACCTCTATATCTACACTGGCTAATAGAGTGGCCACTAGCCACAGGAAAGCTAAGGGCCTGAAATGTGGCTATCTGAATTGAGATGTATAAGTGTAAAATTCGCACTGGATTCTGAAGACTTAGTACCAAAAAGAGTGTAAAAGATCTTATCTTTATATTGATTACATGTTGTGATGATAATATCTTGGATTTATTGGGTTAAATAAAATACATTATTAAAATTAATTTTACTTTCCTTTTTACTTTTATTAAAATGTGGATTCTAGAAATGTCTACATGACATATGTGGCTCACTTTATATTTCTGTTGAACAAAGTTGCTCTAGATTATATGATTTTTCAATGTAGACTGTTATAATCAAATATCAATTTATAAGACCCATCTAAAATGATCTAGAAGGGCACCTGGGTGGCTCAGATGGTTAAGCATCTGCCTTAGGCTCAGGTCATGATCCCGGAGTCCTGGGATGGAGCCATATCAGGCTCCCTGCTGGTTGGGAGTCAGCTTCTCCCTCTCCTGCTCCTCCCCTTGCTCATGTTCTATCTCTTGGTATCTCTCTGTCTCAAATGAATAAGTAAAATCTTCAAAAAAGGAAAAAAAAATAACCTAGAATCTATAGATGTTTTTGGCTCTCTTATTCAATATTATAAAGTAATGTAGAGGGACGCCTGGGTGGCTCAGTGGTTGAGCATCTGCCTTCGGCTAGGGGTGTGATCCAGGATACGGAATCAAGTCCCACATCTGGCTCCCTGCATGGAGCCTGCTCCTCCCTCTGCCTATGTCTCTGCCTCTCTCTCTCTGTTTCTTATGAATGAATAAAATCTTAAATAAAAATAAAAAGTAATGTAGAAAACATTTTATTTTAACTAATTCCAAAATGCTAGGAAAGTATGAGATTGGCTCATTATATGTTCACCAGTCCTCTAGTAAGCTTTTCAATGACTTCTTATAAAAGAGGGTAGAAAGAAGGGCAAGTTGTTACTGGGCTATTTTATTAGGATACTTTTTTTTTTTTTTTAACAAGGAAAACCTTGTGGGAAGGAAATATTTTTTTTTCTTTTTCTCTCTCTCTTTTTTTCTTTTTCTTGAGTTGGCCCCACGCACGTACAACATGGGTTTGAACTCCTGACCCTGAGATCAAGAATCACATGCTTACCAACTGAGCCAGCCAGGCGCCCCAGGATGCATTTTAATATCATCACAGAATAAAATCAGTTCTACACTCCCCCAAAAAGAATTTATTTTTTAAGTTTTTACTTATTAAGTAATCTCTATACCCAACGTGGGGCTTGAACACAAAACTCCAAGGTTAAGGGATCCCTGGGTGGCTCAGCGGTTTAGTACCTGCCTTCGGCCCAGGGCATGATCCTGGAGTCCCGGGATCGAGTCTTAAATCGGGCTCCCTTGGGATCCCTGGGTGGTGCAGTGGTTTAGCGCCTGCCTTTGGCCCAGGGCGCTATCCTGGAGACCCGGGATCGAATCCCACGTCGGGCTCCCAGTGCATGGAGCCTGCTTCTCCCTCTGCCTGTGTCTCTGCCTCTCTCTCTTTCTCTGTGATTATCATAAATAAATAAAAATTAAAAAAAAATAAAAGTACAGTGATAGGGCTTATATGTTTAAAAAAAAGGTAAAAAAATAAATATATAAATCGGGCTCCCTGCATGGAGCCTGCTTCTCCCTCTGCCTGTGTCTCTGCCTCTCAGTCTCTCTCTCATTAATAAATAAATAAAATCTTAAAAAAAAAAAAAAAAAACCAAGGTCAAGAGTTGCATGCTCCACAGATTGAGCCAGCTAGGTGCTCCTGTACTTTTAAATTTTGTTGTAAACCTTTTCTTTTGTAAAGACCATTAAATCAATAAAATTATATGTGTATATTCTATTACAGTGCTTTCTGCAGGGAATGTATTATAAGATCAAGCAATGATGCAGTATTGAAACTTGGGGAGTTACCAATATAGTGATAAAGTGCTGGGAAATTCCAGTGGTACAGACCATAGTCCAAGGAGAATGATGACTGATAAAAACTCTTGTTCTTTTTTTTGTAGTTTGATATCTTCTACTGTTGCTCTTGAAGCTTACAAATACCAATGAAACTTTGTCAAGGACACTGTCCTTAGAAACAAAGTAATTTCACTAGCTTCAAAGTAAACTGACACTTAAGGAATATCAAATACATTTTATTTTATTTTATTTTTATTTATTTATTTTTTTTGATTTATGATAGTCACAGAGAGAGAGAGAGAGGCAGAGACACAGGCAGAGGGAGAAGCAGGCTCCATGCACCGGGAGCCCGATGTGGGATTCGATCCCGGATCTCCAGGATCGCACCCTGGGCCAAAGGCAGGCGCCAAACCGCTGCGCCACCCAGGGATCCCTCAAATACATTTTAAAAGAAAGTTTGTTTGGGGGGCACCTGGACAGTTTAGTTGGTAGAGCATGTGACTTGATTTTGGGGTTGTGAGTTCAATCCCCACATTGGACATAGAGTTTACTTACAATTAAGTTTGTTTCAAAGACCTAATGAATTAGCCCTTTTTAAAGAACATGAAAGAGAAGTCATCAAGTTAAAAAATGACACTCAGGGGCAGCCGGGGTGGCTCAGCGGTTTAGCGCCACCCTCAGCCCAGGGCGTGATCCTGGAGACATGGGATCAAGTCCCACATCGGGCTCCCTGCATGGAGCCTGCTTCTCCCTCTGCCTGTGTCTCTGCCTCTCTCTCTCTCTCTCTCTCTCTCTGTCTCTATGAATGAATAAATAAAGTCTTAAAGAAAAATGACATTCAAAACTTAACAATCTGACCGTAAGTTTTTTTGTCAGCTCCCTAATATGAGCCTTCCTAGATCCAATGCTTTAATCTGACCCATTTTGTTTTGTTTTGTATTTTGTTTTTATATCTCACATACATTTTATGTTCTTTTCCTCTGGGCTCTGTCTTGATCCAGATTGAAAACCCTCCCCATGCTCCTCTCTCTTTCTAAATTCTATCAATCTTTCAAGACCCTGCTCATAGTTTTCTTTTATAAAACTTTCCTATACCCACTACTCCAGCTCAAGATGAGCATATAATTAATGTTTTTATATATTTTCTTTTTGTAAACCCTTTCGCATATTTTCTCATTCTTTATAGATATAGATGATGTTTTATAGAATCAGGGAACTGAGCCTCAGAGAAATAGTCCTTTTTCCAGAACTTCATAGAGATTACTAAATTGCAAAGCTAAGAATGTTAGAACCAACTCCTCTTATTCTGAGTTTCACCATCTTTTCTCTGTGGCTGAATGGTTCCTTAAATCCTGTAACAGTTGCATAACACACTTGCTTAAAGCTATTAATTTTTTACTCTATTTGTATCAAACTATTTAACTGTATTGTTAGCTGCAGGCTTGAAAAGGGATATGTACAGATTGTACATGAGAAAGGGAATAAATGCAAAAGGTCAAGAGAGCTGGATACATTTCTTGATAATAGAATCAAAGAGGTCGTTAAGAGTTCTTTACCAGTCCATTTGCTTTTCTGAAAGCGTGATACCTTTTTTTTTTTTAAGATCTTATTTATTCATGAGAGACAGAGGGAGAGAGAGGGGCAGAGACACAGGCAGAGGGAGAAGCAGGCTCCATGCAGGGAGCCCGATGTGGGACTCGATCCTGGGACGCCAGGATCACGCCCTGGGCTGAAGGCAGGCACCAAACCGCTGAGCCACCAGGGATCCCAGCATGATACCTTTTTATTTATTTTTATTTTTTTAAAGATTTTTTTAAAGATTTATTTATTTATGATAGAGAGAGAGAGAGAGAGGCAGAGACACAGGAGGAGGGAGAAGCAGGCTCCATGCACCGGGAGCCCGACGTGGGATTCGATCCCGGGTCTCCAGGATAGCGCCCTGGGCCAAAGGCAGGCTGCGCCACCCAGGGATCCCCATATGATACCTTTTTAAAACTGATACCTAGACTTACTCCTTTTCCTCTACCTTAGTGCCAAATTTTTAGTATAATTCTTTTTTATTTTATTTTATTTATTTATTAATGAGAGACAGAGAGGCAGAGAGAGAAGTGGACTCCATGTAGGGAGCCCAATGCAGGACTCAATCCCAGGACTCCGGGATCACCCCCTGGGCCCAAGGCAGATACTCAACTGCTGAGCCACCCAGGTGTCCCCAAATTTTTAGTCTAATTCTTAAAGCAAAGCTAAACAGCCAGGTCTTCCCTGACCATCCTGGCTAAAGTAACTCCTCTCCATCAAATCCCTGTCTTAGAAACATTTAAAAATTTTCTTAGAGTGGGATCCCTGGGTGGCTCAGCGGTTTGGCGCCTGCCTTTGGCCCAGGGCACGATCCTGGAGTCCCGGGATCAAGTCCTGTGTTGGGCTCCCGGCATGGAGCCTGCTGCTTCTTCCTCCTGTGTCTCTGCCTCTCTCTCTCTATGTCTATCATAAATAAATAAATTTAAAAAAATAGTAATTTTCTTAGAAACATTTCTAAACATTTTTAAAGATTTTATTTATTTATTCATGAGAGACAGAGAGGGAGAGAGGCAGAGACACAGGCAGAGGGAGAAGCAGGCTCCATGCAGGGAGCCTGATACGGGACCCGATTCCAGGTCTCCAGGATCATGCCCTGGGCTGAAAGCAGGCGCTAAACCGCTGAGCCACCCAGTCTGCCCTATTAACTTGATCTTGATTATCTTCGCCCACTGGAATATGAGTTGAATGAAAGTAAGAATGCTATCTATCTAGTTTATAGCACATAGTAAGCACTCAGTAAGTATTTGCTGAATGAGACACTTCATTCATAGGGAATGTTCACTATGATAACATCCATCCTTTAAAACAAGTTTTAGGGATGC